TTATACATTATATATGTATATAGATTATTGCTATTTTGAAATAAGTTCTTAAACATATTTTTCCTAAAATGTAAAACATTAAATAAAGCAAACAATTATCTCTTCTAGTTATGACTTTTGTACTCAGTTGCTGCTTGACGTAGGTTGCTAAGACTTTAAAAATTTTGCACATGAAGGATATGAAACAAAATATTTTTTTAGGTTTTATATATCCATTTGAATAATTAAAAAAATCATAAGTTACTGCATCAATACCTTAGAATTCCACTATAATTTATCAAGCTTAGTAACTAAGATGTATTTTAGTCTAAACAAATATGAAGTTTTGAGCAGACTAAAGACACAACCTACCTCATTGAAATCTTGGTTCAAAAGAAAGAAATGGCTCTAGCCATATTAGAAATGCTGAGAAAGCCACTAGGGGACATTCTGAGCTTTCAATTCGTTATTCACATGTCATAGACAGAAGTAAGTGTATATAAGGGAGTGTTTCCAAAAATGGAAAGAGGTAAGCAGGGCCATTGTGTTTGATTCAGTACATGAGTGATATTTCAGCAAACAGAAAAGATATGAGGTTTCATTCTAGCTTGTTAATATTGGTAATTTGAGATCCTAATTCGTATGAAACTATAAACTTAGTATTTTGACTTCACAAACATCTAATTTGAACCTGTGCTGCATTCAACATACCATGTGATACACAAAAATCGATGTTTAACTGTGTTTTTAATATTTACTTTTAAATTAAGAAATTGAGTAATGTATAGTTCTAAAATTTGAATTATAATCTACAGTTTGATACCAAACTTATTAACGTAAGTTCGTGAAATAGTAGTTCAAAAAAATTTTGAATGCAAATCAACAAATGATAGATAACATGGTCTTTCACCTATGACCCGTCTCGAAATGGTTAAAAAGATTGATTGGAAGTTTTCCCTGGAGACAGGTAAAGAGAACAAACAGTGATGGTACGACCCGTAGAGATAAAGAAGGCCTCAGCCTCCAAGGATGTATTGAGTGCCACAGACATGGAAGCTATATGCTTGTCAACCAACAGTGCCACACCTCCATGAACTCATCCATCACACAACTTGTCATTTCGGTATAAAGAAAACTGCCAAGAGGTGACAGTATCAGCAGGTCTCAGGAATTTTTCCTGTAAGGAGAGACACACAGGATAATAGGAATCAATTAAGGCCTTAATGTCATCCAACTTGGAATAAAAACCTTGACAGTTCCACTGTATAGAAGTGACCATTTTTATTTAGTTGGAGGAGAATTGGACAGAGAACCCTTATGTTTGTTACCACAACATTTTTCTTTAGTAGAAAGAGGTCTTTCGACCTCCATGGAACCAGCCCAGGGTCAATTGGGCAGATCTCTGTCAGAGGATGGATACTCCAGAGGAGATGGACTCGAGCAGCCACTGGATGTGCTGGTGGGGACAGAGACAGGAGTAGGCATAGACTTGTCAACTCATGCAACCATGGAAGGCAAAAGACTCTTCACATGGTGTGACAAAAACTCTGATGGAGGCACAGAAACATCTGTCTGCACTCCCATTGTCGCAGTGAAATGGAGTCCAGCAGCACATGTCCAAGACGGAACAAGGTACAACGAGAAATGTTGTTTACACTATGTAAATGTTGTACCTCTTTCTCCTCCACCAACTTAGGGTAAGTGAGGGTCCAATTGACACTCATAGGTGTCATGGTCTTTGCCACCACAATGAGCACAAGTCAGAGAACCATGACAAGATGCCTTAGAATGTTTGAACCAGAACCACTGACACTGGAAACAACTGAAAGGCTTAGGAATGTAAAGCAGAACTTACAGTTCAGATAACCTGCCCTGACAGTTGCAGGCAGATATGGTGATGTATATGTCAATACAAGAACATTGGTAGGCAACATAATTCCAGCTTTACGAGTAGAGATATGTCACACAGCAGAAACTCCTTGGCTGGAGAAACAAGCAAGGATCTCCGATTTGGGGATGCTTCTTAAATCCATCTCAATGCTAACTCCTTGTGAGGAATTCAAAGTAGCATGGGGAGTAACCTCAATAGGTATATCCTCAATGGTCTTTGATTTCAGGAGGAGTTCACTGTGTTTTGATGTTTCCATCAAGATGACCTCAGAACATAGCTTCTTAACTGACTTCAGAGAGCCAGCAAGCCCCTCTATTCTCTTCTGAATAAAAAAGGGAGACATTTGTCCTAAAAGTTTGTCACACAAAGAATGAAAAATTGAAGTAAAGGAGCAGAATGGTGTGGTGACTGCTGTTCACAGTCTTCCAAACAAGGTTACTTTCCTGACAACGAGTTTTTTTTGTTTTTTTTTTTAGGCCACTGGGTGCAGAATCCATAAAAATAGAGAAATTTCAGTGTCCACTGACCCCACCCACCATGGAGTCTTACAAGAGGATGCACTACATTGCTCAAGTAGAGCACTGTAGAGATGCCAAGGTTACATGTGCACTATACCAAAACACCAGCATCAGACACAAGGTCCACAACACTGGTACTCAGTTGACCCTAGCCTAACCGGACCAGCCGACTGACTCTGGGGGAGCCCAAGACTACCCATCTTCAGGAATTCAAGGCCAAAGTAATGTATTGAATTGTGACTGATATAAACTGACCACCAATGACACTCCTCAACCACCAGGATCCTCTACTGTCTTTCACGGGATGCCATGCACGGTAAACACGTGGGTAGATGTTCAGATCCCAGAGGAAGTAAACTGGAGATACAGAACCTTCCCTGGGAGGTCCCCTCACCATGTACAGGAATCCACCCTGAGGGGCATATATTATGAAACGACATACCCAGAGGTAGTAGCCCCTTTTCATCCACTGTGAAAACAGCCAGTGAATCACACAACTGACCAAAATAGTGGGCACTCAGGGAGTACTGAACAAAGAGCATCATAACAAAGTTAACAGCAAAAGCATCAACAAGAAAATCTAAATCTTGGCAAGAAAGCAAAGCTTATGTAAGGTCCCCTGATGTTTGTACAATAAATCATATGGTAGGTGGGAGAGTGGAAAATTATGTGTAAGTGACACATGCTCTGCAACGTGTAAAGGAGATTTGAAAATTTTTAATCACTGAATTTTGTTGACAGCATGAATTCAAACTTACAAAGGAAAGGCTTTCAGTATTTCTGAGGTCAATCTACCTGATATAAGACTTATTAAATATACTAAACGTAACTTTCTGAATAACAATTTAAGAACAGTCAGTTTGTTTGCAAGTTTGGTGTGGTTGGTTGAAATATCTTTTTGGCACATTCTTGTTACTTAACTGTGAAAACACGTGTACTTCTTTTCAATACGTTTTTATCAGTTAAAGTATTTCAACATGAGACCTGATGTTTTTTATTATAACTACCTCAGTAATTTACAATTACAACTAGTTTTGAAAATCAGTCCTTATTTTTCTACAACATCAGTCTGAAAATTACAATATACACTGGCAAATCATGGAAAACTTTCAGTCTTAATGTTCAACCCATATCCTTGAAATAAAATTTAAAAACATTTAATATCGTGTGTGTCCTACCTTGAACTGGGTTTATGGAGTGACTTCTTTGTTACTCCTTGTTTATAACCATTGACAGTGACTTCTAGTGGTCTATCTGGGACATCACACCACAGAATAGCTATCAGAAATAAAAGTTTTCATCAATTAAGTGTCTTTATCTAAAATTTCTAAGATGCAATCAACAACAACAACAAAAAAAAAGCTTAAAAGTGTACAAGACTAAGTGAAACAAAGTTAAGAATAGTTAAAAAACTGTACAGGATCTCAGATATACCACACTGAGGGGAAAACAAAACTGTAGAAGATTTGAGTTGCATTGCATCATGCCAAAGGACAATTAAAAGGTCTCATGCTGCAGGAAAGCAGGACTGTACATACAGAAAACCAGGATCCACACAAGACCTTATATCTATTATCCAGAAAGAAAAACACCTTAGATGAATCATAATTATGGATGTACATAACCCTTGATGTAGCATACTGAAAGATAATCAAGGACTAAGAAAGCAAAGGATAGCTCAGTGCTATAACAGAATAAAGATACAATATAGCAAAGATAGGATAAGAATTACCTGTGAGCAAGATACTGCACAAAATTGACAAAACTCAAGATGCGGCAGACTCAAGAAAAACCTAGAGCTGTTCAAGACTAAAAATCCACAATACCAAAAAAGAAACGTAAAAGGGAAAAAAAACAACTGTAGTACACTGTAGAAATTCCAGACCCTTACGAAATATTATATGCAGTATATCAAGTGAAAGCAAAAATGATAGAAATGTCTTGTTCCATACAACACCTGAATGTAGCATAAGAGCAGAGTATGAAAAGAAAGCCTAAAGTTATACAAGACTCAAATTGCAACATGACTAGCATTTTAAAGATTTAAGATACACCATACGAAACAAAAACCCTGAACCATAAAAGAGTTTGTAACAGAATACTAAAACAAGAGGGCAAGACTAAAGTAAATTAATCTGTGAGACTTTTTTTTCCTTTTTATTATCCATATTTTTGTGCACCAGCAATATTAGGCGTGGGGCATGCATATACCAAATTCATTTTTATTACCCATCAGGATCTCTATCAGCCTATCTTCAAATTGAAATTATTTTTAGGCAGGATTAAAGTAAGTTAATCTACAAGACCTTGGGCATGGTCAAATACATCAATCAAAAGGGTCCTCCTGAGTCCAAAACTGTAATTATATCTCTATGAGCCGCTATGTCCCAGCTAAAAAGCCCTGACACATACAAAATTCATGCTGTGCTTTGCTGAATAAAAGCTGAGAAATATACAACTCTAGATCCAGATTACCAAAGGAAACTTAAGAAATGTGCAATGCCCTGTAAGAATGAAAGCACATTACAAGATCCGAGATGTACCATTCAGAAAAACATCATCAATTCTGTATGTTGAGATAAAGAGCATGAAAGAAAGTCCTAACACTATGCAAGACCCATAACGTTGGATCAGTATATTATCATTGCCAAAACCACAACCATAATTACACATACCAAATAGTTAAAATCACAATTCACTATGAAGCACACCAAACAGTCAAAACAATAACCCACAATGAAGCATACCAAAAGCCAAAACCACAACTAAATGATTTGTTTAATTTTACATTACCTATAAACAATTTTCTGATTATTTCTTCATTCTTTTAACTATACTTAAATTGGCCACTAACTTCTAATGACTACAGTTAAAAATTCTATATGCCTTTAATTAAATCTAATTGAAGTTATTTTGTCTTGGTTTGGTTTATTTTGAATTTCATGTAAGGCTACACAAGGGCTATCTGCACTAACCAAGCCTAATTTAGAAGTGATAGACTAGATGGAAGGCAGCTATTAATCACCACCAACTGTCAACTCTTGGGGTTACTCTTCTACCAACAAATAGTGGGATTGGATGTCATATTATAACACACACATGGCTGAAAGGGAAACCCACAGATTGCTGGGCCTTGTGTTTCTTTTCTCCTAAGATTATAATACAAAACAGAAATGTCTAGGAAAGACCTCAAACAAAAGTCTTCATTCCATTTGAACAAAGCTAAGTTTCCCCTTTCCACTGATTATTGGTGTTTTTCACAACACATTCAATTGTTTTGTCAACCTTTTTAATACAAATATGCATAGCAGGTTTAACCTATATAGCAGTTTGTTCAGAAGAGCAGTTTTTCCAAAAATAATTAAACTGATACTAAATGGAGCTGATTATAATTAGTGTCTATCTTTATCTGAAACCTAAAAAAATTAAATAATTAAATTTATTACAATAATTGTTTAGATAAAAAACTATTTTCTCTAAATAGTTTTTTTATAATTTTGATTCTGCCAAGATCATCAACTTCTTTAGTAAACAACAGTTTAAAATCAATATTTGGTTATGAAAAAAAAAGTAAAACTTTATTAAGAAATACCTGAAGAACATGGAACAGCTTTTTCATACACCAACTCCACCTGCTGACGAGAATCTTCAAACTCTAAGTTAGACTGATAGATACAAGGGAGACTTGGATGATATCCTTTTGGAAGATTCTGAACCAATCTCAGTCGATCAAAAACAGCACGTACAATTGCTTCTTCATTAAATGGACATCTAAAAAATAGAAAATATTTACAGTTCCACTTGTTTTTTTCAACACTGACATGGACATTGATATGGAGAGACTGCTCCTCAGGAGAACAAACTCTGGAAAAGAGGAACATTGGTTTAAATGTATTGTATCAAATTGTATTAAATGTATTAAATTGGTTTGTATGTTTGATTGGTGTTAAGTACAAAGTTACACAATGGGCCACCTGTTTTGGGCCAACCATGGGTATGACAGCCCAAATATTTTAGTGTTAAAAGCCCACAGACTTACTGCTGAGCCACTGGGGGACTCTGGACAGATGTAAGGCGAGTTAAAAGAGGATACTAGGGCTGTATGGGATATTGAGTCACTACGACAATGAAAGGTGAAGAGAAGGAGAGAGAGAGACACACACACACGAGAAGACAGTGGATTTCTTGTCATACCTCATTAATTTACCACTGAAGGGGATGCATACGAGTATGTATAAGAGGAACAAGGGACTTGAGAGATGACAGAGTCCTCAGAAAAGGCAAAAACTCTTGTGCAGGAAAAAGATACATGAAAGTCTTGGTAATCAGAAGCTCCAAGTCTCAAAACCTTAAAGAAGAAAACTGAGTCCATCCCACATACAAATTGAGAACTTGACTGACACACTGAGTGTGCTCAAGACTAATTTGGAGAGCCTAATCAGCCACCTCCCTAACGAGAAGGGAAGTTGCAACAGTAGATGTTTCATTAGATAGGGCAAGAAGAGGCCAATCATCCATAAAGTAGAGTAACTGTAGGCCTAAGGAATGTATCCTCCATGTAAAAGCACTCCAAACCTGATTGAAAACAAACAAGGTTTTGAACTGAATATTTGACTGCTGTGGATGAAATGAAGGAAGTGACAAGTGGCAGCAAATTGAATTATGAGGCAAAGCATCTGATAAATTAATTATGGTCATCTGAGAAAAAGTATCCACCTTAGAGGAAAATACCATCAATCTTGAACCAAAGGACAATCAAAGTTGGTTCATGTATGAAAGATCTATGACATGTTACCAATATCCCATCTTCTTGGAAAAAATGAAAAGATGGGAGTAAAAACCAAAAAGTGGGATCGAGGACTTTTTCCATGGCATTCAAAATCTGATGAGGTTGAGAGTGAAAAACTCCAGATAAAGCACCCATGTAAATAAATAGTCCATAGGTGTACAAAGTGGAAGATCCAAGCTCTCACAGGGGTGGTCCAAAAAAAAATGCCCTCCAAAATCCATTACAGCCAACCTTCTAAGGGTGGTGGTTGTATAATAACAAGAGGAGGAGGAGAAGCAGGGGGAGGGTAACCCCACAAGGCTGTTGAGGATGAAAACCTGATGGTCCAAGAAATGCATGAGGAGTCTGACAATCTGCTTCAGATTGAAATTACAAAGTAGAAGGAACATCCTCAAAAAATCTTGTCATGAAGGAAAAGTACATCACGAAGGTCCTTCAGATAAGATTGAGGGATGTGAATTTCAGAAAGAATGGCATTCAGATACAGTACACAACAAAAACCAAGGTAACAGAGACACAATAGAAGAAAATTGAGGCCAAGTTGGAGAACAAGTATGTGCAAGTTTCCCCAGTAAAGCTGTCAGGGTTGTGATGTAAGATAAAAGAAAGTAAAATATGGCCATATAGTGAAAAAGCTTAGTAAGTAAGAGAAAAAGATGAGGAGATTGAGAGCGAGAGAGGAATAAAGAAGGAAATTCCCACAAGCTGCAAATAGAGATTAAACTGAATGAGGCTTATGCAACACGGTAGCCCTAGATTAAGAAAAAACAAATGTTACCTGTGTAATTGAAGGACAAAAGTGAGATTACCTGATTCTCATTGGAAAGAGGAAACTAAAATTAAAAGTTGGTGGTGGAAACAGTTAGTCAAATTCATCTAAAAATGAAGAAGGTTCACCTGAAGCAACAGAAACAGATGGTCAGGAGTTCTGATCCAAGATCATAACAACCACCTGGTGCACAATGGTGATAATATAACTGAATGCCAAGGTGCCTCCAGTCACCATTGCAGTAGTGAATGACTTTTCTAAAGGAGTGTCAGAAACCTTGAGAGATGTCAGAAATATGGACACATGAATTTGTAATCAAGACGTTCCACAAAACTGTTTAATATTTTTTAAATGGGTGTGGTATATCCATGTTACACAGGCTACTGTCATAATGATCAAACTGAAGAGCAGTTAATAAAAACCATTCACTGTGTTAAAAACAATGAGAATAGTACTGTTAAATAACCTACATCAGACTCTGGAACACATGTCCCAAAATTATGTAATTTGATTAAGAGGAAAATCAAATTAATATAACTTGAATCAAAGTTTTAACAGAAATGTGTACAATTTTGTATTATCTTTCTTTTGCATAATCAGTTAAATAAGGTATGAAAGACTACACTATGAATGGTAACAAAAGTTTAAAATAATAAGTACAAAAAGTCCAAAATCATGCTGAAAAAAAAACACATCTGAACAAAGTAGTGCTGAGGAAAATAATAATCTATTGAAACACTAGTGCTCATGGGGTTTCCTGCACATGGAAGTTGTGTTGTCTTCCTGTTGGTGGAGGGATAGTTTAATGATTATTACATCACAGACTAGTTCATTACACATTAATATGTGTAGGGGGAGATTTGTTCAAGGCTTGTGACATTCACAAATATCCTTTTGGCTGAAGTGTAAGGCAATAGCTCCTAGTTCTGTGGAGAGGTAAGTAGTGTTTCTGATTAGTATAATACAAGGTTTTTTGAAGATCTAATAACTAGAATTGATAAAATATACTACAAGGTTTGTTGAAGACTTACATACTAGTATTAAAGGATGAACACTACACTAAATGGTTTACTGAAAACCTAATAATTAGAAATGGTAACATACACTACAAGGTTTGTTAAGGTGAACTTACAAGCATGATAAAGAAGGCAGATCTACATGCTTAGAACTTATAATCTTGCTTGGACAAAACACCCAGTAAAAGATTTAATGAATATTTGCATAAAATCATTAATACAAAATAATAAGGTTACACCAAGCTTACCTTCTCGTACGTATGTAATGACCTTTATCTAACTAAGAAGTTTTCTGAGGATTTACTTACTGGCTTTGATAAAAACAAACTATAAGATTTAAACTAAAACTTAACTACCAAAAATGGTATAAAACTCTTTACAATAATGAACACTTACCAACAATAGTATAAACTCATTACAAGTCTTACTAAACACTAACAGTGTTAAAAAGTCACTGTAAGCTTTAATAAACACTTGCAAATGATACAACAATGATATAAATTCACTATAACGTCTAATGGACACATATATATAAGCACTAATGAAAAACATAAAACATGGTTTAATTAAAACTTACAAAACTCACACAATAACTCTAACAATAGATACTCAAAATTGATGACACAAAATATACATTATAATGTTTAATGAAGACTTACCTACCAATGATTATGGAAGAAAGATAAACAGGAAGTGCAAGAAAGTGAGACAGGAGGGCCCCCTGGAGGCCACATACATTCCATCGGGCCATTTTATCACTACATGAAAGTGACAGAGTTCGTTCTCCTCGTCCCGGTTTAGTCCTTAGAACTCCAGTCACATGGTAGTCTGCTCCTTCTCCTTGGGGGTCTTGATAATCTCCAGGTACACACTTTGCTCCTGTTCTTTTTACCAAAATTAAGTACTTTAAATTTATAATATCACAAGAATCTGAACATTTTGGTTAACACAATATGTGAATAATCTTCCCATGCAGATTTTTTAATGTTTATAGAATACTTTGTCAATAAACATACATTCTATACATACAGTCACAATAAGACTTTCTATACTTTCCTAGTCATTTGGTTCCTGATATTTACTTTATATACAAGTCATTAACACTAGCTGGAGCTTAACAAATTTCAATTTCATTATATGGTTTTAACCTTACAGTAACACAAAAACAAAATATATTAAGTTTTTAGAAAACCATCTTAATTGAAGGAATGTTAAATATTTCTCAGAATTAAAATTAAATATTTACTTCTGGGTGGACAAGAAGTTACAACTTTAACATTTTGAATCCAGTCAACACAAATCATACAAGATTTTCAACTAAAATTGTGAGTCCCTTTTTATTAATCTTTTCAAAAACATCTGGATGAATGGAGTATAAGACACAGTTCATTAATCAGGTTATCATTCTTAATTTTAACATATGGAAAAAAAAAAGATTTACCTCTGAATGAACTTACGACAGTCAAAATGAAGTCTGGAAATGAGCATGAGAAAGCTTTTAGGGGTGGGAAAATTGATGATGAATTTATCATCAAATTAAGTTAAAGCAACCCCAAACACTGAAAAAAGAATGAAGAGAACTAAAGAACCATAGAGTGAGATAACCAACAATACTGAACAATGCACATCTACAGTTGAAGTGCCACAGAAGCGAGAACACCATATAAAGTACTAGGTTGTCCAAAATCCATTACTATGGTAATGCATATCTACAGATGTAGTTCTTTGAGTTTTCATTTATTATTAAAGTAATCAACTAGGATATAACAAAATTGAGAACATCATCCAAAGTGCTAGGTTGTTCATAATCCATTATTACTGTGTAATAAAGCTAAATCTCTTGGGGAGCTAATCTACAACAAACTATACAGGATGAAGGCTCAGTGTTGACAACTATACAATCACATGACATATGATAACAAAGAAAAATAATGTAGATAGCCTAAACATTCATTTGTGCTACAGACTCACAATTGCTAAAGAATGTTTAGGAGATATCCAAATTAGGATTTTAAGTTAATACCTGTTGTATGAATGTAGGCCTGGTGTTAAGGGCAGGCAGCATAGGCTGTTGCATAGGGTGCCAACTACCAAATACTCAAGGGTTTCAGTGTGAGTAGAAGCACTGGCTTAATTTCTGCCTAGGGTGCCAGTTAAGCTATCACCATCCCTGCAAGTTTAAGGTAGTTACAAAATATCAATCCTCCATTAAACACAAAAAGATTTAATGTAAGTCATACAGTTCTGTAATCTGATAGGTAATGAAATTGAACCCGAATGACAACATATTCTATAAAGTGAAGAAAATGTGAAAAGTGTAAAAAATCTCATTATTTATAAGGCTCAGATCAGGGAAAGAAAAGAATCACTACTTTATATAAATAATAAAGAATAATTAAGGACAAAAATGATTTAAATAATGATGGTCTGTGCAAAGATAACACTAAATAAAAAGTAAAAAATTCAAAAGAAAAGAACATTCTCAGTCTTTGGGAGCCATCCGAGTATTCAAACTCTGTGGTGGCTTAAACAGATAGCAGAATAGCTTCTTAGTACATGTGAAAGCATCATTAAAATAGAATAATAGTAAACTGATATTCAAATTCTTGTTTCTAAATGTTAATGAATATACTGAAGTAAACAATTAACTGCAATTTTTCAAATTATTTTGTTTGAAAGCACCAAGCAGATATAGAAGCTGATTAATATACTACAGAAAAAATGTATAATATGCAGTGTTGTCTTGACATTCAGTAAGCTCAAAAGCATCTGTAAATGTAAATGAATCTATATAAACACAAACAATATTGTAGATGGCTGGTAAATAGTTATACTTACTTTAAAAAAATTGATTTTAAATAAACTGGTATGTTTCTTGCAAACTTTCACTAGTCAACTTGAATTAAAAAAAATGAAATAAGCAAAGTAGTGACTGGAACAAAAGACAAAAATAATGAGACCCTTTAATCCATGAGCACTGAGTTGGTCTATTGGACGATGCTCCAATTACAGAATTAATTCTTAAAATAATTCCAAGTCTTCACAAAATTGGAAAAGTTTTAGTAAACATTACAAATATGTTGTACACAAAAAAATCAGGATTTTAATAAAGTATTTCTGTTAAGATGTGTTTGTAAATTTACTTTAGTCAGTTTGACTCCAACTCTAAATAGTCTGAGTACAAGGTGATTTTCATGTTAAGAATAGCAACATTTTTTTCATCTTACAATTTTCAAATTTAATTTGCATAACCTCTAGAACCTCCTAAATGAATTTCAAGTGTTTTTGTTTTTTTCCAATAAAACTATCTGTTTTTCTCTCTAACTTAACACTGTAGGAGCTTAGTCCACTGGAACAACCTTGTAAAAGATATACAAAATCTAAATCACTTTTTTTTTTCCTAGAGTTACTGTAAACTGTAAAAGAAAATTAAAATGATATATCCTAAACTTCCTCAGTCTTAAAACAATTTACATCTATTTTTATTTAAATTTATTGTTTCATTGCTTTTTAAATCATTTGTAACTATCACAAATAGCAATAAATCACCCAGTGGAAGTATGGTTTGTTTGTTTGTAGTTAAGCTACACAATGGGCTATCTTATCTCTGCCCACCACCTGTATATTGAAACTCAGTTTCTAACTTTGTAAGTCCGCCGAAATACCACTGTGCCACTGGGGGCAGGTGGAAGTATGGAGAGTTTACGGTAAACAAAATTTCAGGTTACATAACATGATGTCTAACTATATATATATATATATTATGCATGCATTACTCAAGGCTACTTTTTTTTTCATTTACATATTTTTATCTAAGTTAATAGTTTTTAATTTTTACATACAGTTTAGTTACATTTCTTAAAAAATACATATCAATTAATAAACTATATACATAAAAAATAAGAACTTCATCACTCACTTCAGGATTGAGGCCTTTTGCTCTCAGAAAACACTCTTCATTAATCATAAATTTTTCTCAGTAAGTTGGTTGACCAAAAAATAATTCATATAGCTTTCAAACATGCATTTCAAAATACAAACAATAATTCAAGCAGTAAAATAGGATGCTTCAAAACTACTAAACTTTATCTGGCTTTCTAACTAACCTATAAAAAAATGTTTCAAAAAAGAGCACCTACTTCAGTCTTCATTCAATAAAATGTGCTTGGGAAATAGCACTTTTCACCAAAATAAGTTACCATGAAGACATCATAATTATGTATTTAACACAATGGCATTTCTATTAGTTATAAACAAGTATGTACCATTAACAAATAGGAACAAGTAAGTAACATGCAAGTATGGAGATGGTTGCGCGAACACCCTATTTTTGTGATGTAAAATAACTATCCTTATAATAGTTATAGTGCAGCTGCTTATGGTATTTAATGTTTTCTATATAATCTACACTCTTCTGATGAAGCACTAGCACTTTTTGGCTCGAAATAGTCGCATGCAATGGCTCCTTTTGACACTTTGTAATTGGAAGGTTGAAGCCATATTGCTATTATCAGGCTTTGTAGACCAGATTCTTTACAGTAGGTATCTGTGACTTTTTGGTGATAAATTTCAACAATAAAAAAACAGCAACACAGTCCACTTGTTTTAAAATAATATATTAAAATAAGTCTAATGTATATATATATAAATGTCCGTTACACTGTTGGTTATCACAGTTGTATCCAGATCTTTAGATAATTGTCTATTTTTTGTCAAAATCCACACAGACTGGTTCAATTACTTTAGAACACAACTGACAAGATGAATTATTCTTCTCTACCCTGTTATTACAATACAGTCTTTAATAACTTCACATTAAAAATTGTCACTATACACTCAATATTGCTAAACTCATAATCACGCATTCACGATCTAAATAACAATCTTTCGATATATATTTATAGCCTGACAGAAATCTAGAACATTCAATGCAATAGTGTACCAATGCTTCAGTGTACCAAATATCTTTATATACTAAACTCTTTGCCAGACTATACTATCATGTTGATATGAATGTTTGTCATCTGCACTCCATCAGTTGAATAATTACCTGAGGTGTAAACAAACCAAAGAAAGACTGAGTGCTCTAGCTTTAATACATAATCATTATGACACTACTATCAACATTGAAACTGTATGTAAGTTATTCATGGAAAAGCACTCCAGAAGAATGGACAAGCTAACATGTTATTTCATTAGTTCATACATGAACACATATGATAGCAAATGATTGAAATAGCTAATATATTACTGTTGTACAGAGTTGTTTAAGTTAGTACTATAACTTAACAATTAATAACTACTCTGCATGTAGATAGTACAATACTTTACTATAATAAAACATACATATTTATGCTAATACAAGTCTACTTCCCCATGCAGTGTTACAACAGAATGATGATTTCCTGGCTTTTCATTGGATTTTATGTGAACAGCCATGCAATTGGTTAAGCTATATTTCATGTAAACATTGATTCCAAATTTAATCTCATAGCACCTACTTTTCACAAATTATCTGGGGAGGGGGTATGCCCTCAGACCCCTCTAGCATTAGAATGTTCTGCATGCTGATTGTGCTTAGCACAATATGTATTTGCTTTTAATCTCACAAATTAGAACCACCTTTGAAACATTCTGCATACGAGGACCGATTTATAGAAAAAGAATGAACAAAAATTGGTTTCATAAGTTAAACTACTTAATTTAAAAGGTTTACAAATTAGGACTTAAGTCATGTTACAATAGAAAATAAAAGTAATTTATGGATCCTCCCCAACGATTATCAGTGTAGAACATTGGTTTATATTAATCACAGTTTTTGTGCTTCAGCCTTCATGGCTAGCTTATACAATTTTATAAATGATACCCACATTTGGTATTTAAATAAAAATTTAAATTTAGATTTGTTTTATAATGTGTTAAAGAATATAGTTTACTCCATGGACAAAAACCATAAGCATATAATATTAAATAAAATAATATATAAATAAAATATCAATAATTCATGTTAATAATAAATTAACTGCTCAATCACGTTTTGTACCGTACTAACAAAAAACTAGTAGGATGCATATGCCTAAAACCACTTACGTCAATGAATTAGCAGGCGCGAACTTGTTCAACTCAAGAGGGCTCCTCCTTCCCCATTCGGTTCCACTTTTTTTTTAATTCTATGTTTATTATTAATATATAAGAATGTTGAATTACTTCATTTACTCAAAGGGGTTATGAAAGATTTTGAAGTATTCCATTTTCTCAAAGACAAAAATATAGGGTTTTGCTTAAGAATTTTGTTCATTTTAGATAGTTTTTCAAAGCTGAACAAAGCAGAGTGCTTTGTCAAAATATAATTATATAAGTTATTAGTATTTTTAATTGTTATGGAGTTAACGCCAATTTTTTAAAGAGAAAAAGCTGGCAAAACATGATTATAATCAATTGTATTTGCCATAAAATATTACAGTGGTACTTATTACATCTTCAAATACTATATTTGTTATTAAGTCTCTCAGCATTTTTCCAAAAAGAAGAGTGTATAATAGTATTTCAACCGCAATATATCCAGAACCTCTTTATTTATTTTTATTAAGTACAAAGTTATACAATGGGTTATCTGTGCTGTGTCAATCACAAGTATTAAAACTGAATTTTTAGCCTTATAAGCCCTCAGATTTACCACTGAGCCATGGGGAGACAATACCAGAACTTGTCAAACCTTCTGGGATACAGAAAACATAGTATTTGTCAGAACGCTATTTATATAAGGGATTTGTTAGAATAACAATCGTTATTGTATGAACGCATTTTGTTTTCTTTTTATAAACTAGTGAAGCATGAACTATAATCAGTCATATTTGTAATAGTATTAGTATTATTGTGCTTTTAAACACTACGCTCTTCAATGAGTCTCTTTGGGATTTCTAGAGAAAAAGGGTGTATAACACTATGTTCATCGTATCCATTGCATTCTGATGATGCATTTTGCTCAGTACCAAAAATCATTCTTATTTTAAATTATGACTTGTATATTCTGTAGAATCCTGAAACACATATAAAGGAAGAAAAAATCTAAAACAGATTCAAAACTCAAAGATATCATGTGACTAAAGAAGTGAAGATTGAGAATTTATTTACATATTCACTTTTTAAATTTAAAATTAAAGTATATTAAATTAAATTTGGATTATGAACTACATTTTGATGCTAAGTTTATTTACATACTTCAATGCAACTCTGTAAAAGTTGTGACATGGGCACACTGACCTCCAAATTTGCACATAGGATTAACTAGTGAAATCAAAAAGAAGTTGGTAAGAAAAAAGTAAAACTTTCATATCACATAAAACACACAAACAAGCATTTTTATCATCAGAAGAGAAACAAAATAACACATGAATTTAAACCCACAGGAACTATGGAAGTCAAAGTTCAAGAGACATCAGACATAATGAGATGTACTATAATACCAGTAAGATAAGAAGACAAAGAAATAGCAAGAACAAACAAGCTCATGTCGGAATGTACGCATTAAGCAACCCTTTTATGTAAAAAAGAACTCTGTGAATTTAATATGCCAAGATAAAGTATGGATTTCTGGAGAAAGAGGAAAGTAAATAAATTAATCCATCTCTAACATGTAAGGCATATAAGAAAACACCAGGAAGATAATTCCCCCACCCCCATAAAAAAAAGAAACAACTATTTGGATGAAAATCACCAAGTGAGAGAAAAGTAAAGTGAGAAAAGGGAAAAGCATCCTCAGGTCAACATCTAACCTAAAAAAGGAGTAAGACTCATGAATGCAAAAAAATTCAACTGAGGAGTTAACAAGGAACAAAGGTTCAGAAAAATGAATCCTTGGTGAAAATTGAAAAGAAATTTTGCCAACCAACGAATCCCACCAGAACAGAAATCAAATGGATGAGGTGAATGAAGAACTAGTATTTTCAATATGAATGGTAAATTATTTGCCTTTGCCATTACTGTTGGCTAAATAGCTAGATCAAAGACCCATATGGTGCAAGTATAGCCATCCTTAAGTTTTTACTACTGACCCAAAGGAAGGCAGCCATCCAGCAGCATTTGCCACTACAATCTCTTTGAACTGAATAATAAGATGAATGTTGCTTTTATGATGCCCCCCACAGCTTAAAGTGTACAGCATATTTACTTCCCCCATGCCTTGTACTTCAGATCCTCTGGGCTGCACAGCCTGACACACCACTAAACCATATGTAGCCCAGAATGATTAAAAAGTAGAATGGTTACATTAAACGCAAAGCCTACCAAAAGAACTAACTGGCAAAATGCCTGTAAGAGATGAAAACATGTCTGTAGTAAAGTAAAAAAAATGCAAAAACTAAATTTTTTCTTCAAAGAAACTTATAAAATTTGGAAAGAAAAGAGCACCACAAGATGCATGTTGATTTATCTTCTGAAGCATAATGAGGAATTCAATGTGATATGTCTAAAAAACCTAGATCACAGTAGTATATTTTGAATTTATCAAAAAGAAATTGCATCAAAACTTCTTTAAAAGATTATACTTGTATAAATGTTTTAAACATGAGTAAATATTGTGTGAAACTTTTAGTCACAACCTACAAAAGGTCTCTTGTTGTCCTTTAATGTTATGTTGCATAAATCTAAATCTAAATAATTAAAAAATTAAACAATTAAACCTATATTAGACACAATTTGTTCTCTCTGAAAATAAAATGACTCAATATTTACACATAACTTACCTGTGGATATCAAATATATCCTGACCAGTAACACATTTCTTGGGACAACCCTCTTGAGTATGAGAATGGTGTACAGTGGAAGTGTCTGATACATAACAGCCAACATCTGTAGCATCCAAAACAGTTGTCTGGCTTGCAGGACCATCATTTAGTAAGGCCAAATTGGTAGTCTGATGATCAGTTAAGGAATCTATTTCCCCAGTTTGGACTGCTTCATTAACAGGACTACATGAAGTTGAAATTGTCCTGTTACGTTTGTTTGTTTCAGGAGGACTTTCACACGAATATTTACGTTTTAATCTATGTTGTGATCTTACCTGATCACAAAAGTCATGCATTTTGGGAAAGATTGAGGCATCTCCACCTGAAACAATTACATAATCAAATATGGCTGACTGTGTAAAATAAAAGTATGATTATTTTCTATGAACATAAAGAAAGCAAATAAAAAATGCAATATAATTAAAACTGCAATTTGTTTTTTACTTCCTTGCTAATTTCTAGTTTCATACAAAATATTATACAACTAATAATTACTATAAACCAGCATCCATGTTTTTATGTATTGAATCATTTATGTGTGACAATTTCAAAAAAACAACTATAGCATTCATACATTCTAATTAAGGCATAACTGGTAAAAGTACATAATTACATGAAAATAGAAAAAATTATTACATGCTTAAGAGCACCAGCCCCTCTATCATCTTCAACATGAGGTTCTAGTTATTTGTTGTGTAGAGAGGTGAGTAACATTTCTGAAGTTATCATTTTCTTTAACCTGAAAATGTATTTCATGATAACTACTCACCTTTCTGCACAATATCCCACCATCTCTCCCCACTTCCAGTGTATTTCTTTTACCTCCTCAAGAATGAGCCTTTTTTCAAATGCTAGTGTTTATTGGGATTGCTATGCATGGAGGTTATTCTGCCCTCCTAATGATGATTATACTAAAGGCTGGTGCAGTACATGTTAATACATATAGGGATGTGGGCTTCTTTCAAGGCTTGTGGCAAGCACAATAATCTTCATGGGAATGGCACAAGGTAACAGTTATTTGTTGTGCAGAAAGGTGAGTAATGTTTCTGAAACATAAATTCCAACAAGGTGTTATTTTGCTGAAGTTTAATATTGCAATAATGTTTGTTGGAAGCAAAATAAACAGTCAGTTTTTATCAAACACTTACTATACCAATCATATTTAGTCTAACTTATACTCAGCTTTATATTTCAATATCAACCATTACATGCATCCTTAATATAAAAAATAAAATACTAATCTTTCTTACATGGAGTATGGCTGATAAAAAAATGAACTTTTATCCCAGGTTTCATTTGGCATATACCCTCATCCTCTGTCAGTTCCAAGAATTCAGAAGTTTTCCCAATAAATACTTGATGAAGTTGATGGTATAGGTATCTAACAAACAAGTCCTTAAAGATGTAACTTGTATATTTTTGTTCAAAAATCAATAATTATACAGTCCTATTCACAAAAGTTTCATTCACAAAAACATATCAGCATGAAACAGAAATGATTTTTACTCATCTTATTTTTGTTTATTAGTTCTTATTCTTAAAAACAACAACAAAAACAACTTTTTGTTTGCAGCTGTTTAAGTTTTAAAAAGTTCTGAAATTATAAACACATTTCAATTAATGTTTTTGTTTAACTCTGACCTGGCTTGACATTATCTGGATGTTTAGTGATATTAACATCCTTGTACTGAAGTTGTGAACACTGAATTAAGTGTACTGATGTTTTCAAGTTGGTATAATATTATTGTAATGATTTCAACTGTCAGGTAGGTTCATTTGGATTATTTTGTTAAGAAGAGGAATGGAAAGTCTAGTTAGCTTAATGATAATATAAGCATTTTATTTCTCTAACTGTAAGTCCTTCAAGTTAACTAATATTCGCTAACAGGCCTAAGCCTATAGTAAACCCTAATAAATGCAACAATCTCACTTACTTGCTAATTTTCTTGCTCTACAAAAAAATATGGTATATCTTTTAACATTTTGTTGAAACACTAATATGGCACTGAACTAACTAACTCAATCAAATAATATTTATTCAGGCTCAATAACAAACCATTGTCTACTCTAGCCTAATTCAATTTTTTATACTATTCATATTAAGCCAAACATTTATCTCATAACACAAAATCTCTCTCTCTGGCCAAACAACAATAGAAATACCTATATTAAAAAGAGACTAAAACACTGCTCCTCTCTGGTTTGTGAAATCCTTTAAACAGTTCTATTATACAAACAAAATAATAGTACATTAAACTTCCATAATTAACAATGTTAATATATTCATAAATATAAACATTACAACAATCAAAGCATTAATTTTGTGAAATAAAGCACAAATGAAACAAAACTTTCTTTCTTTAATAATTTACTGTCCAGCCACCAAATCTTTCTAGTGGTTTTCTGTAGCTTATTATACAAACACTAGCTGTCTTGTTACTAGGAGATTTAACATGAGGAACCAACTGGTGGCTTCATACCTGGTGATACTTTGGAAGTGGTCTTTAGGAACCTCAGGCTCTTCAACAGGATAAAGTTAACTAGTTGACTGTTCTCTTGCCAACATACTTCCAAAGACAAACACAGTGAATGACCTTTGGTTTGAACTATTTGTCCTATGAAATACATCATTGATTCTTTTCAATACTGCATAAGAGTCCTTTCCAGCATCTATTTAACTTTGGAGACTGTCCTTTCGAACAATGTTGATTGTGCAGCCATATCATGTCACCACAATGAAATACTGTCTTATTAGAATTTGTAATATGTTAGCTTTTCATCTTATCATTAGCTAAGTTATGTCCTTCTTGGACAAAGTCATGAATGGCATCAGTGATGTTCCTTAATTTCACTAGATATGCCAGAATGCAAGTACAGAAGGTCCAATGGCACTATATCATCTTCTAAACATCAGTAATACTGGTGTATTGCCTGTAGCTTCATATATTGATATATCATGAGTAGGAATGGAAGATCTTGATCCCATGTTTTCTTATGTTCACCCACAGAAATGGCTAACTGGTTTAAAACTATATGGTTGCATCTTTCCACTATTCCATCACAAAAAGGAATGAAAGACTGTTGTCTTGGTCATTTTGTTCCAAGTGTTTGACAAATTCTCTAAAACACAGCTGATTCAAAGTTACTTCCCTGATCTGAGTGAGGTTCCACAGGCATCCCAGACCTTGAAACAAATTAATTGACAAGCTTCCTTGGTAGTTTCTGGATCCTGATTAGGATAGCATATGTATCAAACCATCTGGTGAAATAATCTATTACCATCAAGATGTATTTATTATCACTGTTGTAGAAGGCCAAGCACACTGACAGCAACCCATTTTCAAATGGTTTTCTTACATGTACTATTGTAGTTGTCCTTGTTATTTCTTTTAAGAATCATTTTACACAAGCACAATTTACATGATTTATGTCAATCCCCTACAGATTTCCATCATTTAATGCAGTAGAAATATTTTTTCATCTTCTCCAGTGTTTTATTAACTCCTACATGTCCAGCTCTTAAATGGATGTGGAATGCTTCTGAGTTCAGTGATTGTGTACCAACTGAAGTCATAATTTCTGCCTAATGGTATTTTTTCTATTTTCAACATAACAAACCTTCTCATAAGTGAAAGAAATCCCACACTGCCCATTAAATCTTTGACTGTGGACTGTATTTTCCCACTGTCTGCCATGAGGGTCATTCTGCATCCTTTCTGACCCACTGAATAATTTGTTTAACACTCATATCATTTGCCTGAGCTTCTTTCGGGTGATTGTTGGACCACATTAGTTATTCATCATATGTGGATGTCTCACCTTATATTCTGCTCTGTTCCACTTTAGATCAGTTGTCTTTACTGTCATGTACTTCTCACACTGTTGGCATTTTTTGGTAATATAAGGTTTTCAGGATAATGCATGTGCATTTCCATGGTACTGTCCAGGGCAATGTATAATGATGAAGTAGTACTCATGAAGTTTCTAGAGTTTCTAAAGCTATCTGGCTTTCTGGATTGTGGAAATTCATCAGTCAATTCAATGCTACTTGATCTATCCAGAATAAACTTTTGTCCTTAGGGGCAGTGATGGAAGCAACTCTAATTGGTTGGAGCATGTTCTGACCATACCTTGTGTGCTTACCTCATCTCTACCATCAGACTCTACTGAACTGACACCAGCTGCGAGAGGAGGGCACAGTAGTCACGCTACAGAGATTGATATAGTGTGTGCACACCTTAACTCAACTGAACAGACATCAGCCGCAGAAGGAGGGCAATGGTATAATAGTGCGTTATCACCTCAATTCAACTGAACAGACTTTTGGCTGCAGGAGGAGGACAGCATCATGATATCTGGTCACCTCAACTCTACTAAACAGACATTAGCTGCAGGAAAAAAGCATGGTATTATAGAGCTTGCTTGTCTCAACTCTACTGAACAGACTTTGGCTGCAGGAGGAGGGCACAACATCCCAGTGTGTGTGCTCAACTAAACTGAACTGAACAGACTCGGGGAGAGGGCACAAATGACACGTTATATGTATAGCCATATGAGGGGTAACCTGCACTACACTGACAGTGTCATCACTGCCACACTTCACACTGTATTGGTACTCAATTGTATATCACCCCAGCATACGAGTCCAATTGGTGATGGTTCTTCGTGGTCCACGATTCCAGTGACTAGGAATTGGTAAGTGATTAGGATTGCCTGTGCTCTACTTGATTAGAAAGGGGTTAAATTCGCAGTAAGCAGACCTGGAGAAAATGCCCAGATCCCCATCAGTCCTTCAATTTGGGAAGGGCCTTTTACTGGAGACAGTGCAATGGGTGACAGAAAAATCTTATTTTGAAAAACCAGCAAGTGCAAGCCAGGGAAGAGGGCAGAACGTACCCCTGGTGTTGGCTTTTCCATGATAGTCCATGGATATCTCGAATGGTCTTGTGGAATACCCCTTCTCACAGTGAGTATATATGGAACCAGAGCAGATGATACGAGTGCTTTTCATTATTTTGGCTCAATGCAGATTTTGGAAAATAAGTATACCCTGGGAGGAACTACCACCCACCTGGTGGGATCCTAGGCCACGAAAGGAGCTTTGAAAGAGAAATAATATTTCTTCTTCTCAAAGACAGTGGAATGATAGAAGAATGTTGACCTGCAGAAGACAAAAACTATGAGGAGATAAAAAAGCCAGAAGGTGTAGAGAAGTCAAATGCATGGAAAGTGTCCACATACCCACCTGGAGGAGGTCATCCTAAGGCTGGTGAAGAAGAGATGTAAGAGAAGGAGAAAATTGACAAATCAAATGCAAAGAAATATGAAATAGTCTGTGAGCATGCCCAACTCAATATGAACATTTTAATTGAAGGAGATAATGGATCTAACAAGTAAGGGGAGAAGGAAAGGGGTCCATGAATAGGCACACCAAACAGGTCATTGGAGCCAATTGGGATCCAAATGGTTCAATAGGTGAGAGACAGAAGGAAGAGAGATAGAAAAGAAGTACAGGCAACCTCCCGAGCAGTTAAGGACTGAGGAAGACAAGACTGGATCGGGTAGAGGAATATTGAAGTGTGGTAGAAGAGGTTGTGAGAAGCAACTGCAAGACAGGTTTCAAATGCATTTCACAACACACACACACAGAACTACCAATCATCATTTTAGATTATGTTAGTTTAGCTACTTAGAAAGAATTAGGAAAATTCGACATACAAAAAAAGTTTTTTACACTCAGAAAAAAATATATTAACCTAGATAAAAATATTTTGCTTTACATGCAAATAAGTGCAACTCAAAGACCTAATTGTAGTTTACCTTATGAAAAGTCTTCTTACAAGGACTTCAGCATGACTATCACTAATGGCAGCACCTAACGCAAAAATCAAAATATGTAGGATTATGAAGAAACTATCTGATATAAAATTAATCAGTTGTGTTTAATGAAGTAAAATGCCAATTCTCACAACAGCACTTAATCAGCTTTTCTCTCAAAACAATCATTCTGAATATCATGTACAAATTTAAAACATATATTAAAACTAGAATTTTTGGAGCTTGCATAACAGATTTATCACATCTTACACTACCTTGACAGCTAAGTTGGGATGGACCAAGACACTTTGACCCTGTGGCAAGGGAAACAACCTTCAGGTCATGACCTATAAAAAATAAAAAAACAATTGTATATGCCAACTAAATATCTTGATTTTGCTGCATACCACTACATGAATGGTGTATACACATCTTGAGGTTATTAATTAGCTAGGTTTAAATATTCACATTGACTACTGTATGGAAGTTATGGGAAGCAAAATTAGCTAATTATCTAGACAAATTTAAAAGATCCACTGACTATGATGTAGAAGTTAATGTAAGTAGGATCAACTAGTTAGTTAGATTCCAAATGGTCAAACTAACTACTGTATAGAAGTTTTATCAGTAGGCAGTTAACTTGGCTTAAACAATTTCACATTGAAATTACTGGAAGTAGGATCAGCAAGTTAGCTACATTCAAAATGGTCACATTGTCTATTATATAGAAGTTTCTGGAAGTTGGATCAGCTAATACATAGGAGTGTTTGTTTCCAAGACTTGTACATTTCTAATCAATTCCTTGATTATGAACTGAAAATTCAAAGTCTGCAGTATTCATAATATTGTTAATGATCCACATATGTCCATTTGGTTTTGGAAAATTCAAATAAATATTCATCATACTTTCCATCTCGTACACTTCTATTGTTACTGTAGGACCCTTACTTCAGGACTTAAAATTGGAAATAAGCAATAATGCTCATAATAATAATTTCCTTACACTTTCATTTCCTACCTCTGAAAGTGGGAGAAAAAATGGCAGTTGGCACAATGCTCTAATTTAACTATGTACAGTTAATGGAACACATTACCTTTTGGTAAAAAATCTGAAGAAATCACTATTGCTGACATGTGTGTCCATTCCTTTCCCTTCTGAGGTTTTCCAGTTTTAGGTAAAGATTTGTAATGACTGTAACACAACTTTGCAAGTTTATCTGCAAATAATACCTTCTCAGTTGGGTCACTCATGGCTTACAAGTAATAGATCATCAATCTGTCAACAAAAAAATGTCACTACTCAGTTTTCACACATGTATTACCTATAATAATGCTTAACATGAAAGGATTAGAAAATATCTAACGAATACCATAAATTTCTACTGTATATATGTATATATTAATGCTTAACAGGCAGAACCTAATTAATACCTGAATTTCTGTAGTACGTACATATACTATACTGTTCTTAGCTAATGCCTAATTATCCATAGTATGTATGATTATGCTCAAACTGAAATATTTTAATTAATGCCTAATTATTTTTTTAAATCATAGGTTAAGCTGTAGTTTTCAGAAAGTCCAATGACTCCCTGGAGTTTGTTTGTAAAGCTTACTTAATGGAGAGAAAGATTAAAAAATGTTTTGAGGAAAATTGCAGAACTACAGTATGAAAAGAAGATAAAGTGAGGAAGTTAGTGTAGTAAGAAAATAAGCAGAAAATCTCCAAATGAATATTGTTCTTGACAAGAAAAAACAGGGAGGAAACTGATGAGTTTACTAAGATGTGAAATGCAAGATGGCTAAGAAAGCAAGTTCTATATGAATCAAACTCAGGTTACTGTTTCACACAGATTTGGACCTGTGGCTGTAGGTTTGAGGTTTTACTAGTGAGGAATTCTCTAATGAAATCTGAAAGGTTTAATTATGGTGGAGCACACAAGAAGACTATAACTATAATTTGCTTACAATGTGCTAAAGTTATGAATGGTGTAAACAAAAAATAGTTTAGTGGTGAGAACTAAAACTTTTTTATCTGTAGAACTACAGATGTTGGTAACGGTATATTTGAAGAATTACACAAATACAAAGAACTATTTCATAGCTTTTAGGAAATAAATCATCAAGTGTTAAAAGTCTATTGTGCAAGATCTTCCTCTTGTGAGAAATGAAGAAAAAATGTTTAACATGGTGCAAGGAATAGATTAGATTATTGAAGAGATGTCTGGATCAACATACAAACTGGTAAGATTTGTAGAACAGGTTTAAGGAAGGAGGACAGATATATGCACGTGATGTAGTTCAGCTGGGAAGGTTTAGGAAATTTTTTATTTTAGGAAAGCTTTAAATGACTTCATTATGGATTGTTCAAACTAAGTCTAGATAATGGTAATTAACTGATCTGACCTTAACATGGATTTTGAAGGACAAGAGATAAATGTAGTGGTTAGTAATACTGATGTCATTTTTTATTTTTTTCTTACACTAATATTAAAAGCCTTGGCAATAAGTTGGACTATAATGATAGTCACCAAGTTAGACATCATTTATATTCCTTAAACTTAGTTAAATGAAGATTACAAAGATGTTATTTAGAAAGCTTCAAGGTCTTTTAAAGATACTGAGTTATTAAAAAATGGGAGAGGGGTAATCTTATCTGTTTAGACATAAGCTGAAAGATTTTGTGAAAAGTAATACCATCTAGTTTGAAAATAAAATGTGGAATGTGTTAAATGTTCTCAAAAGAAAAGCAGTTGCTTATTAGCATTTTACACAGACCACTAAATCAGAATATGCTGGCATTATATATATTGGCTTATCATTAAGATATACTTTCTAACCACTTTTAATTTTTTTCCACAATTTCACAAGAGCCTAATGTTATAATTTTCCTATACAGTAAAACATATTTCCAATAGGTGTAGATGATGCTGGTCTTCCATTCATGTGCACCATCTCCATGCAATGGCCTCTGAGGGTTGAAGTTGCACCTGGCTTCCGTGAGTATCCAAAGGGTGCAGCTGCATATGATTTTAAAGGCAATCCACTTCTGTGCACTGGTATATGGAAGTTTGTGATGTGCTCCAATGCTGTACAGTCCTGTCTGAAGAGATGTTGTTCCTTTGGAAGTGATCCATCACCTCTTTGATTGGGATTCCTCACCTTACCATCACACAGATGTCAGTTCTCAGGGACTGGTTTTGAATTTTGAGCAGAACCAATCAACAAAAGTCCTTACACGTGTTGCCTGGTGCTACAATCATTTAGATGTCGGTTTCTCAAATGTATGGTTAGTTGTGGATTGTGCACATGCGCTCGTTTCACAGATCAGTTTTCACAGTATATACTTCTGTTCTATGGAACTTGAGGTGCAAACTGTGTGGACCCTCCTCCTACCACAGATCAGAGGTTATATTCCCAATACCACTTGGTTTTGGACGAAAGTTGACCAGCCGCATATGGTCTGCCATGCCTTAGCCACTCTACACCTTGGAGCACATCCAGTTTTGCTTTCTCTCACATTATTGTCTGTAAAAGATTCATCTACAGCCTCTCTTCATCAGGATTGTATGTTTTTATGTGGTTCAGATTCCAATCCAACCGTTTTCGCTTATTCTTTGGTTGTGCTCCCCCTTTTTTCTGCCAATGTCTACAATGCTCTATGCACACAAAGCAAAGACTATAGTTGGTACAGAAGTGATGTGGTCTCACACGAATGATTCTTTATTAAGAGGATCATCAGTTTAGGGTATTCTTCAGATGCTTTTGCAGGGTGCTTCTTTATATCCCTCGCACCAGTCCCTCCATCTACTCAATGTAGGATTTTTAGCTATATAAGTGAGCAGAGGTAATGTATCGTATTGGAAGTTATAATTTTCCCATACTGAAAATATATTTCTGATGGGTACTTACCTCCTCACTTTCCACCCTTCCTTCCCCACTGAAAACCGGTGCTTCCTTTTCTGCCTAAACATAACATTTTGGGACAATATGGGACCCATTGGTCCATCTCGGCTGTTCATCCTCTAAACTAAATTAAAATGATTTTAAAAATAAATAAATAAATAAAAAATCTTAAAGCCAGCCCTTTTCAATCTTATACTTGTCAAGCTTTTTCTTAAAGTTAAACTCACTTAAATTTACTGCCTCCACAACATCCAAAGGCAACCAATTTCAAAGGCCAACCACCCTGTTAGAAAAATGAAACTGTCTAAGCTGAAGAGACTCCTACCTTCACA